CCGCCTTGCGGCACCAGCACACCAGGTTCTAGCCCCAGTCGGGGTGCCGGATTCTGTCCCGGTTGCCCCTCTTCCAGGCCAGCTCTCTGCTGTGGCCCGGGAGTGCAGTGGAGGATGGTCCAAGTGCTTGGGCCCTGAACCCCATGGGAGACCAGGATAAGTACCTGGCTCCTGCCATCGGATCAGTGCGGTGCGCTGGACGCAGTGCACTGACCACGGCGGCCATTGGAGGGTGAACCAATGGCAAAGGAAGACCTTTCTCTCTGGCTCTCTCTCTCACTGTCCACTCTGCCTGTTTTTTAAAAAAAAAAAAAGAAGAAGAAGAAGAGGAAGAAGCAGAATGCCCATGTGGGGCCTGCTATCCACATGCGAGACCCAGAAGTAGCTCTCAGCTCCTGGTTTCAGCCTTGCCCCAGCCCCTGCCACTGTGGCCATTTGGGAGAGTGAACCTGCAGCTGGAAGAATCTCTCTTTCTCTCCCTCTTCCTTTCAAGTACATAAATAAATCTTTTCTAAAGCTACATATTTTGTTTTGTGAAATCAATTTCACAATCAAATAGGTAGGGAGGATGCTTGCCTTTCTGATTTTCTTGGAATCAGCCTCTCCTCCCTCTTGAAGAGCTGCTATGAATCCCACAAACACTGGGGAGGCAGGTAAAATTCCTCCCTTGGAAGCAACAGGCTTGTGTGGGAACCTGAGTCTACTGGCCCCCATGCAAACCCTGCAGGCACATTCCACAGGGATGAAAGTGATCACAGACGCCTTGCTACAGTTGACAAAATCTAGGAGTCAGGTGACAAAGTGGTGACATGGTCAATGATGACAGCCAGAAAGCAGTTCCCAGTGAGTATCACACACAGAGACTCGAGCCAGCTTCGTTCTGTATCAAACTGTCATGCGGTAGAGACAAACTGCAGTGAGAAAACACACACACATACAGACACACACAGTCACAGCAAAATGCACCTCATTCCATAGGCCTTCCCTGCTGTGCAATGAGATTAGAATAGAAAGGCTGGCTACTCATGGGAGGTTGTTCAGCAATTCACCACCCAGGAACCCAAAATGAACCAGATGAACTCTTCAAAAAAATGAGCTGCGTGTTCTAAATTGAATTACCTCACCAGGAGAAAGTGATGAGAAGAAACGGGAATATAAGGGAAGAGACAAACATCCTATAGTTACTTTTTCAGACACGCTTGTCTTGAAAATTCCAGCACTTTTTGCAATAACCTGCTATAAAAATAGCATGACAGAAGCATGCACAGTGTTTTGGTGAGATGGCATACTTAAGTCCCTGTTGTCCCCTAGTTGTCCCCTAGAGTTGAGAGTATTCCAGAAGCACCCATTGCTTTCTCTTCTTTCTTAGGCAAAACCTAATTTTTAAAAATGCTATGTTTTTGTTCTTTTTCCCAGAAGATTCATTCTATGTGCAAATCACATAGTTCATGTTTTTTTCTCTACATGGAGAGAAGCAAAATATTTTTTCCTGCCAAGAAAGATCATTTTTAAAGTACTTATTTTATTTATAGATAGTAGCCCATACTCTACATCTCATCAAATCTTATGTTGTATGTCTCCAGTATTAGAATACAAGACATGGCAACCAAAGACAAAATTTATTGTCTTGTTCAGAAAATCACAGACAGAGCACAGCAGAAATGGATGTCGAGTTTTAGAAAGCCTAAGGTCTGAAAAATCTCTCATCTTTTCTCACCTTCAAGACTTTAATCTTGAATTAAAGTGGTTTGAACTTTCTACTTGTCATTGTACCCGCCTGTTCCTGCCTCTCCCGAGGCCCCTCCCTTGCTCTCTCCACAAAATTTTATTAATTTTCCCTCCTTCCATGCCCAAAAATTTATTGACTTTTTTCTTTTAATTAATTTCTTAACTATTTTAATTAAGTAATTTATTTACTCTGTGCCAGGCAATTCTGCTAGGCTCCAAAAATGACAGAAAAGGAGTATAAGATGAACGAGAGGTGGGCATTGTGGTACAGCAGCTTAAACTGCAACTTGGGACACCTGCGTGCCATGGCAGAATGCGTCCCATTTTCCGCATATTTTCTTCTAATTCAGCTTCCTGCTAATGCATCTGAGAGGTAGCAGATACGGCCCAAGTACTTGGGTCACTGCCACCCACTGTGGAAGACCCAGATGAGTTCCGGGTTCCTGGTTTCAGCCTTGTTCAACTCTGACTGCTGTGGACATTTGAGGAGTGAACCAGTGGATGGAAGGTTTCTCTCTGGCTATCTCTTTTTGTCTCTCTCTATTCAGTGTCTCTCCCACTCTCTCTATTATTCTACTTTTCAAATAAACAAGACTTTAACAAAAGAAGTGCTAAGAAAAGAAGAGGAGGGGCCGGCACCATAGCTCACTTGGTTAATCCTCTGCCTGTGGCGCCAGAATCCCAAATGGGTGCTGGGTTCTAGCTCATCTTCCAGTCCAGCTCTCTGCTGTGGCCCGGGAGGGCAGTGAAGGATGGTCCAAGTGTTTGGGCCCCTGCACCCACATGGGAGACCAAGAGGAAGCACTTGGCTCCTGGCTTCAGATTGGCGTAGCTCTGGCTGTAGTGGCCATTTTGGGGGTGAACCAACGGAAGGAAAACCTTTCTCTCTGTTTCTCTCTCTCACTGTCTAACTCTATCTGTCAAATAAATTTAAAAAAAAAAAAAGAAGAGGAATGAAAAGTTTTCTCTTTTACATTTTACATTACCTGGGTTCTGAAATATTTAAATGTTGTTCATATATATATATATATATATATATCACTTTTTAAATAGATATTCCAAAGAATTTAAAAAAAAAAATCCTAAAACAGAGGTTGACACACCTCTGTAAAGAACCTGTTAGCACACATCCAAGGCTGTTTGAGCCATGTGGTCTCTGGGGCAAGGACAGCTCTGACACTGGGTTATAAAAGCAACCTCAAGCTTTATCTACATAAATGGATGTGGCTGAGTTCCAAAGAAATTGTTTACAAAAACAAGTAGGAGGCCAGATTTGGCCCAAGGGCAGTAATTTGCTGACCCTGGTCTAAAATATTAAGACAAGTCACTCTTCTGTAGATCAACATGGTCCTGTTACTTCCAATAACATCATGCACGTGCCACAGTAAGCTTTTAATTAAACATAAGAGTTCACTGATCTGAAGCAAATTATTAGCCAACTTGGAGCTTCAGATTTTTGCAAATTGATGAGGAAATCTAGGTAAGTATCCTTGAGAGTTACTTAATTTTAAATTTTGGTTAGGTCTTATATACAACCAAACTTCTCAAAAATAGAAGCTGCTTGCTCTGATTCCTCTGAGGCACCTCTTGTCATTGGCACAATATGAAGCTGGTGATCTGAGGACAATTATGAGTTGTGTTAAACAAATAATAATAAATAAGTCACATTTCACTGATGCATTTTGTATGAATTTTTTCAACTGTTCCAACTGTGTTTAGCTGTGTTTAACAGGAATAGATATTATTTCACTCATCTTTCAAATGAAAAAACAGGTAGAGAAATTAAGTGATTACCTACATACTAACACCAGCCAGGGCTTAATTCAGAGCTTTTCAAACCAGGCATGTCTCCTTGTGAGAGAGACCTTTGGAATTACTTTTTAAAATTTGCTATATGACTATAAAGTGACGAAATAACCTTACCAAAGCAACTATTAAACTGCAGTAACAAAGGTAGGGATTTCGTAATAGAGTTCAACAAAGTTGAGAAATGAAACAAAGCACTTGCAACAGAAACAACATAACATGAAGAAGTTAGCTACAGTGTCTGCAACTCACACCAAAACACAATTCTCACACACTCAAAAATCCGAGTTCAGACTAGGCAGAGCAGATTTACGTTCTAAGAGATAATAAAAGAGACAAAACATTAATATTTTCTAGTTAATGTCCTTCAGAACAAGAATATATTTACAAATTTGGCACTTTAAAAATTATGTTTTTGTTTTATTAAAGTTGAAGCTTTGGTCATTCCAGATGACAACAAAAACATCAATTATTTTTGGAAAACTATGTTCTTGCTAACTTAGTTTTCACTTTTTTCCATAGTTTTCACACTGCATCTGGTTTTATGTGTTTACTGTCTTTTTCCTTTTTGCCAAGTTCAAAAAAATGCACATGCATCACTCTGCATCTTCAAAAGTTTTCCCAAATAGTACCAACTTGGAATTCTTCAGTGATTTAATATTAGCTCCTTTGTGCTTTTCTCATGAGTCTCTGAAATACCGAAATAAATGGTTATCCTTTGTTTCTAAAATAAAAGTAATTCCATTTCCAGATTTAAACAAATATTGTTTATATTTTACACAGCATTAGTTAGAACATTTGTAGAATCCATGCATTTAAGGGGGAAAAAATTAAGGAAAAGGAAAATCCCTGTTGACTTTAACATTGATTTGCACATTCTAGATATCAGGCCCTATGTATGGCATATTCTGATACCAAGACACTAAAGTGAGTCTGCTTTGGTTGCTGGGGGAGACAGACACACACTGCACCACATCCTTACAGGCAAGCAGGGGTGAACACTAGGATTTGAGCACAAGGATGATGGCGGTGAGGATGACACGGTGGTGGTGGAGGCGAATACTAAGTTTTTATTGTGTGCAACACATTTTCTAAAATCATTTCAGACAATTGCCTCAGTGATAGAACAAACCATGGAAAACAACAAAGTATTATGGAATCATTTTAGGAGATTAAAACTTAATTTCAACTGCTTGAATGCAGGTCAGCCAAGATTGTGAATACAGTATCTTAAATGGCTCTCAAACAATTTTTCATTTCTGGCCGCACACAATGGTTTTATCAGCTACCTTCAAGTAGACTGCAAAAGCCAGCTGTTATAGGCTGAACATTATCTGCCCCGCCCCCAACACCAAACACCCATGTTGAAGTACTAAGCTCCTATATCTCAGAATGTGGCTGTATTTGGAAATGGATAGGGTCTTTAAAGAATAGATAACATTAAAATGAAGTCAATAGGATGAGTCTCAGTCTAATATGACTGGTGTCTTTATAAAGGGAAATTTGGTCTCAGGTGGATATGGAAAGAAGACCATGTAAAGACCCTGGGAGAAGACGGCATTTAAAATCCATGGAGAAGCCCCAAGAGGAGCCACAATTGTCAACTCCTGGTTCTAGAACTGCTAGTCTTCTGAACTGTGAGAAAGGAAACTTCTAGTATAAACCAGCAGGTTTTGTACTTTGTTACAGCAGCCCTGACAAACTAATCCCAACTATACAGTCTTCTCACTTGGGTTTGCACAATGTTTACTTATACTTTATTATTCATTTTGTGTTTTTTTTTAAATAATCATTTGAAAGAAGGACATGCTCCCAAAAAAATCAAAACAGAAGGGTGGAGAAATTAGGCTTCAGGATTGCATTACCTGGACCACCAATGCACCACATGAGTTTGACCTGTTCTTTCTTTCATTTCCAGACTTGGATTCCAGGATTGCATGCTCAGCCCTCAGAGTAGAAATGAAAATTTACCTGTCACTTACAAAGTTTAAATAACAAATAGATAAAATTTATATCATGATGCTAGAGCATTTATATAACAGGGAGGAAAAGATATCAGATGACTCTTACTTTTTCAACTCAACTCTAAATGATAAATTATATGATTTTTGAAGTTATGTCTTCTTTTCCTGGAACATTAATATTAGCTATAACCTTAACCTAATCCAGGAAAATTAATATTTTTGGAAAGTGTACATAGTTTTAAAAATTATATAAATTATTACTAAAAATAATATAAAAAGTTATATAAATTATTTTTAAATTCTAAGCAATTACTTGGAGAAAAGAATATTAGAAGTCATCCTTGTTTTCTTTTGGCTCATGCAGATCTCACAGAGCTTCTAAATGTTTCAAACTGAAAATTCTTAAATCCTAGAGTTTGAAATTTAGGCATGAACAGAAAATGCAGAATAATGGTTTGGGACTTAGAGGTTTTATTGACGGCAAATATTAACAATATTAAATTATTTCTTTTTGCTGTGTTAAATATCCCTTCTCTCTGTGAGTAACTACTGTTGTCTCCTGACTTTTCTCTAGCAGGGGATTTGGAAGCCCTTACCTTCCTCTCCCCAATGTTACATGACCAAGAATACTGCAGTTCACTGACATGCCCTAACAGGAAACATTTGTGTCATGGCCTTAACTTATCTGGAACATCCTAGCTAGATTCTTTTTCTCTCACTGTTAAAATTCTCCTGGGGAATATATTCTTAGTTATTATTTATTTTAAACCCTTTTCCAACTGTAATAGAATTTATAAAAGTGCACACAGTGGAAATTGATTTTTTAATTAAAAATTAATTTAGTTTTTCTTGTTAATCCATTTAATCTAGGTTTGCAGAGGCACTGCTCTGAAGTTTGTTGTTTTCCTCTAATTTCTTTGTCTCCTCTTACTGTCATTGTTTATATTATTTCTAATGATTACTTACCTTTTAATCTTGATCGTTCTTGCTAAAGTATATTACTAACCTTTCAAAGTGCTGGTTTATATTTTTACCCATTAGTTTTTCCATTTCATTAATTTCCCATTGATATGCTTACATTTATATTAATTTTTTCTTCCATTTTATGTTTATTTTGTTTTATTTTCCCAAGTTTCATGGTTAAGAGCATGGATCATTTATTTTTTGATCTTTTTTTTTTCAAATAACAGATACTTCTATTTTTACTCATTTTCTTCTCAATCTTGTTTCAATCATACACAAAAGTTTTGTTACAAAGCTTTTTAACTTGTATCCAGCTCCATGCAGTTTACAAGTTCTGTACTGACTTTTACTTTTACCTTCTTTTTAACCCTGTAATGATTTGTAAATGTGTATGTGTGATTTCTTGCATAGAGTTTTGTCTTGTTTATTTTATTTTATTTTTTATTTTTTGGAATAGTGGAATTTCTTGCAATTGTTGATGGATAAGTAGTTGCAGCCTGTATAATATCACCTTTTTGGAATTTGCTGATGTTTCCACTGTGGTTTAGCACATGGTAAGTTTTCGTGGCTGTTGCCTGTGTGCTTGAAAATGATATGCAGTTTGTGTGTATGGTCCAGACATCTTTGTATAGCCAGTCACAGGCTTGTTAAGTGCATTACACAACTCCTCCACATCCCACCTTATTAGCTGGCGGTTTCTTGGTTGGTTTCTGAGAGACGGATGTTAAGCCTCTCACTGTGATTATGAATTTGTCCATTTTATCCCTTTTTCCTTGTAGGGTGATCGATGTCTGCCCTATGTATTCCCTTTTGCGGTATCCCAGCGAATTGCCTTGTTGGCTGCCCAGGCTCTGGGGTCCCTGGCCTCTCCCCTGGGGACGCAAGCATTCTGTCACCTTTCAGCTTCTGTGAGGAACTTAACCTTGTGTGTTTCATGTTCGGCGTTCCCTTTTCCACTTGACTTCTGTTTCAGAACTTCTTTGTATGTTGTGCCCATGAGAATTCTCATTCTTACTGTTGAGCACTGAGTACTTACAATGTTCTTTTCTAGCTTCTGTATGAATTTTGTTGAAGAGGTGGGAGGAGAGGCTAAATAAAGCATATGCTCAGGTTAAGCTTTCCAACATCAGACTTCAGTTACTGGTAAATGTCTTTGATGGCCTCTCTCTTCCATGTCCCCGGCTTCCGCTGTCCTGAACCCCCAGCCCCGCCGGTCTTGTTCCAGGTCCTCAGTACAGAGGCACGTGCCTGACCCAGGACTTTCATATATCAGTTTTCTCCGCTAGAATTGCCATTTTCTCCATGATTCACTTCTTAACCACATTCACCCTTCAGGATTAAATGTTACTTACTCAGACCCTTTTTGGACAAGCTGACACACACTAGGCCTTTCAGCTCTACTTTCTTGCAATACGTGTACGTTTTTCAGTACTGCACACTTTACAGTATTGTATTTATCTAACTGTTCACTCATTTATTTTTTCTTCCAAATTAACTTTAAATTCTAACTGGATAGATACCAATCACTTCATTACTTGCTGTATTCTCATTGCCAAAGCGTTAGCAGGGGCATAGGAGTCATTAAAAAAAAACATTTTTTTGAGTGAGTGAATTAATACTAGTTCCAAGTAGCTGTACGTTTGAAATCAAGGGAAGATCATAAGGACTTACATAAATGTAAAATTCCATAATCAACTTGACACACTGATTTTATTGTTCTGGTGATTTAGGAAAATCATAATGGCTACAACATAGAAAGTGGCAGACATTTTATATTTATTTTTGCTAATCTTTATGATAACACTGACACTTACATAGAGTAAGTTGAGGACTAGGAGAGTCAAGTAACCTATCTAAAGATCAAGTTTTCTATAATGCAGAGCCAGGATTCTAAGTCCACAAGTGCTTGTTCCAAAGTTAGGCCTTCTTAACACAACTATCCCATGCATCAATATGTAATATTTGATTAATAGAGATACTATCAATTTTAAGGCAATTTATTTTAAGGAAATTAAAATAACATTTCATAAACTAAATAAAGTGTGAAAAATAAAAAATCTAGTTACAAAATTAGATTTTCCAAAATTTTGAACAAATATTCAAAAATATCACATTAATGAGTTTAGTTGAGTTCAACTTATCAAAGTAAATAAACATGACCAAAAAAAATTGATCAGAATGTATGAAGACTAGTTTCTGTTTCTTCATAAGGCTGTGTGAATGGGCTCCATTTAATACTTTCCTCAATTTAAGTGTGCCATACAGTAACATAACAATTCAAATCAGTTTGGCCCATTTAATTGTTTTATACAGAGTTGAAAAATACTTCTGGGTGATAGATCAAACATCTCAATGATTGATTAAATCTGTGATTCACCTGATGGAACATTTGGACCTTATTAAAAAAATCTTTGCCTTACTCTTTAAAATGGAAAAGATAAAATTAAAGATTTTCTTTTTAAGGCGTTTTTCACCTGCCTAACAATCTAAATGTGTCTCAGAAGGAGGTGAACATTGTGTGTGTTACATTCCTATCATCCCTAGAGTTCTGTTTATTTATTTTCTGTGGCTGAATACTAAAACAAAAATGAAGAGAATAACATGGAAAGATTTTTATAAAAACAGTAGATTCACTCCACCCCACTACATTATTTTTATTTAGCCAGATTTTTAATAAGTAATTTTGTAATAGAAGCAACAAAGAAGATATAAAACCCAGAGCCTACTAAGTACAAAAATTCAGAAAGAAAACCTGTGCGATATTTAATATGTCAATAAGAAATACATCTACATAAAAATAAAATAAATGCATAAAAGGGAAGGGAAACTCATACAATATGTTTGAATCTTTTTTTTTTTAAAGATTTATTTATTTATTTGAAAGACAGAGTTACAGAGAGAGAGAGAGGCAAAGACAGAGAAAGAGATCTTCCATCCATTGGTTCACCCCCCAAAAGGCCACAACAGCTGGGACTGGGCCCGGTAGAAACTAAGAGCCAGGAGCTTCATCTGGGTCTCCTACAGGGGAACAGAGGCCCAAGAACTTCGACCATCTTCCACTGCTTTCCTAGGTGCACTAGCAGGGAGCTGGATCCAAGGTGGAGCACCTGGGACTTGAACCAGTGCCCACAGGGGATGCTGGTACTACAGATGGCAGTTTAACTGGGTATGCCACAGCATCAACCCCTCTTTGAATCGTCAATGCAATCTAACAATAACATCTCAATTACTATGACAATATACACTGACAACAAGCTCACAATGTAAGAATTAATAATTGTATTGAATTTAATATTCCTCACTGAATTAGGATAACTTATAATTTGATTTTCCAAATTGCTAATGTTGAAACTATTTCATTTTACATTACCTTTGAAATTGCTTACTCCCAAAATAAACTATGTACTATGTCTATGTGATACAAATATGAGAAATGCTTAAAACAAACACAGATAAGCGTAAAATGAGATAATGGTCCGGAGCTATAAAACTTTTTTATCAAATCACATTGCAAAAGAAATATAATACATGTGTACCTAATTGCCTCCAATTTTTATTTGTAGGAACTCATGAAAACTATGTATCTATATGTGCCTTTGTTTGCCTCATTGACAAATGAAAATAATAAAAACAATGACTCATTAAGGTCATTTTGACAATAAATTTGATAGTACACACAAAGCAACAGTACCTGGTTTAGAGACAATGCTCAAAACCATTAGGAAGAAAAGTAATCCATTGCTATATTTTCAGCATTAGGCATAAAACAAGGTTCTATGAATACTCGTTTAAGGAAAAGTTTTAAGGAAAAGTCTAGTGTCCTAGGGCTATCTTTTTGACAGAGATAAACAGGAAAGGAAATCAGACATTGGATCACAAGGAAGAAGATGCAAAGGATAAAGTACAGGGAAAAACAGGTAGAAGGAAATGACGCTTTTTGTCCTTGCTATCTTGAGCATTTTACAAAGTCATTCTGACTCTATTAAGATCTTGCTTTGCTCCTCATGCCTATGGCATTACTAATCAACCTTTCCTGAGTTTCATCATCAACATGCCCCTAACCATCCTCTGCCTCTCTCCTCTTTCCTTTTGCTGTAGATAAGGTGACAATGCATTAATTTTTATCTATTTCTTTTTTAACTCTTTTCTTTCCTTTGATGTTCTTTCTTGTTTTTTCTCTTGCCCTTTCTTGGACATTCCCTGAGATTTTTTTCTAGTAGATAAATGACATACTGCACATAAAACACCAAGCCTAGTATCAGATATATAATGAGGATCCAAAAAAACTTACTCTTGCTTTCTTCTTTTATGTCTCTTTTCTCAGTAATGTCACCAAGATTTGTGAAATTAATAATCACTGTCACATAGACAAGGCTTAAGTTTCTGTCTTCTACCAACTTCTCTTCTTGAATTAACTCCTTTCTTCCCACCTGTTTGTTGGATAACTGACTGCTCCATTTGAATTCTTCCTTTCACTCCCCCCCACCACAGCCCACTACCACCAACTGCTGTGCAAGTCCTCCAGCCTTGGTGACTTATTTTGGTCATTCTGCAAATGTCAGAGTTATCTTTCATTCTTTGCTCTCACCTGTATTGGAGAATCTTTCACAGGGTCTATCACATTCACATTTGCTTTTAAATTTTGTCACCTCACTCGATGAAGACTGTTAGTATTTAAATCTTGATCATTTATAACAGATGAAACAACTTTTATTCTAAATCTCTGCTTCTACCAGTTTGTTGTTACTATATTAATCTTCTTATAAATGCATATGAAGCATTCCTATGATTATATCAGTTCTTTATTTTTATTATTATTCAATCATTCACTTGGGAGGCAGAGACAGTCACAGAGAAAGAGAATATGTTCCCACCCACTGGTTCACTCCCCAAACACCCACAATGGCAGGGACTGGGTGTTGCTGAAGCCAGGAGCCAGCAGTTCAATCCAGATCTCCCACATGAGTGGCAGAAACCCAACTGTGTGAGCTGTCACTGCTGCCTCCCAGGTCCACATTAGCAGAAAGTGGATTCAGGAGCCAGAGCCAGGAATTGAAACCAGGCACTCCAATATGGGACACTGGCATCTCAACTGCTGGGTTAAATATCCACTCCCTGATTATGCCATTTTTTTAAAAAAAAGAGAATCCCAGGTATAGGCTTATTACCTTGAATAGTATTTGTCAGCTTATGTTTATGGGCTTAGTCTGGATGACTTTAATCCTGACTCTGTGTTTTAAGAGAGGAACATTAATAAGAGCTCTCTGCTTCTGCTTTGTTTTCTCTCACCATCTTTTTTTCCCCATGTGAGATTTCTTTCCCCATAATCCTAGCTGACTAACTGAACCAATACTTCAAGGCTCGATGTGTATCATCCTCTCCACTGAGTAGCTATTCAAATTTCAGCCTTAGATGGAACAAAACATGGAAACGTACTTCAAAAACCTCCTTGGAATATGTATTATGAAAAAATTATGCAAGTTTTTGTGCACAAAAGTAAGTTTATCGTTTCATTTTATTTTCCAGAACCCTTTGAAGCCCCCTTGAGTAGCACAGTGGTTCCTGTTCACAGCATCCACCACAATGCACATGGTAGGCAACTAGTACAGGCTTCATGAACACAAAATAAAATATAAAAGTATATTTGACCTTCATGGGCTCAGTGTATTGTTATCCCATGTATTGTAGAGGGAAACCTTTTGAGAGAAAGGGCTTTATCCTGTATTTCATGTTTCCTATCTTCATCATGCCCAGAAATAAAATTTAAAAACACCTCCAAAAAGGGGAACAGGCTTTATTTTATTTCGACTGCCAGTTCTGATGTGGGTACATGGTGTGTCTCACAGACAGAAATATGAAATGACAACTAGATGTGGTCAGAATGAGCCATGCTCATAGGCCTAATTTGAATTATCAGAAATGCAAATTCAGCAGCAGGAACAACAACCACTATAACCACCATAAGATTTGAGCAAAATATGATAGGTCTTACACTCAAGGAAGCTCAGCATTTATGACAGAGGAAAATCTAAGCAGAAGCCAATAAAAGAAACAGTCAGAGTGAGAAAAGACACCTGGTGTGCTACACATGGCTTCCTCACCAGCAGACATGCAGCCCAGGCAGGGAGTCTGAACTGATGAAAGTGGCTTGCATTTTCACTTCGTCCTTTTAAGAGGACATTAAGTAACTCAGGCCCATTCTGTCCTCCCTGCCCCAGCCAAAGTACAGAAGGGAAGAAGGTTTCCCTCCTCTGGCACACAACACCACTGCCTCCACTCCGTTTTTATCACAATGTAGGGAAGTGCCTCTTCCCACTCGTACCATGGTGCTGAACGACTTACGAGGTGGTTGATAGTGGATCTCAGAATGTATTACATTAGCATGAATTTTCTCCATTGTCCTCCTTTTATTCCCCTAGAGTATATTGTTTCTGACAAGCTCAACAGAAACACCAGCTCAAGAAAAATAGTCCACCAAAAATTAGTTTTAGAAAAGAGAGTCTTGGTATCGAATTGTAGCTCTCTCATTAGGTCAATAACAAAGATAATTGCAAACAAAACAAGAAACAAATATAAAGAAAAATAATAGCAGCTTCTATCTGTTGAATACTTACTCTGCACCAGCCACTGTGCTGAGAACAGCATGTTTACTATTTCATTTATCCTGCACATCAGGTCTGGGAAGGAGGTATTAATATCTGCACCATGCCCATGAAGAAATTCTAGCTCCCAAAAAGGTTTGTCCCAATTTGCATGAATGTAAAACCTGTAATTCCCATCTTTGTGGCTGACCACTCTGGCTTTACAATTCTGCTCTGTTAGCTTCTCTGAACTGTCAACAAGTTAGAAAGCAGAGTGCAGCAGTATCTCCTGTGATCCTGAATGCTGTGCACGGGATTTTTTTTTTCATTTGACAGGTAGAGGTATAGATAGTAAGAGAGAGAGAGAGAGAGAGAGAGAGAGAGAGAGAGAGAGAAAGGTCTTCCTTCCATTGGTTCACTCCCCAAATGGCCGCTACAGTCGGCACTACACTATCCGAAGCCAGAAGCCAGGTGCTTCTTTCCTGGTCTCCCACACGGGTGCAGGCGCCCAAGCACTTGGGCCAGCCTCCACTGCACTCTCGGGCCACAGCAGAGAGCTGGACTGGAAGAGGAGCAACCGGGACTAGAACCCAGCGCCCATATGGGATGCCAGCACCGCAGGTGGAAGATTAACCAGGTGAGCCACAGCGCTGGCCCCATGAGTGGAATTTAAATTTAGAATATTTTATTCCAGACAGGTCAGAGAATTTCTCAACTCTTCACTCTGTAATGTTTACAACTGGATTGTATTTGGTACTCATGTACAGTAACAAATGAATCTCAAGTTATTGGCTCACAATAGGATTTCTTAACTAAACTATTTGTGCATGTAAATAAATCTAATCAGGGCAAGCTTGTGGGGCAGTTGGTTTAGCTGCTGCTTGTGACAACAGCATTCCATATTGGAGCACCAGTTTGGGTCTTGGCTGCTCTGCTTCCAATGCAGTTCCCTGTTGATGTGCCTGGAAAGCAGCAGATGATGTCCTATGTACTAGGACCTCTGGGAGATCCAGTTGGAGTTCCTGGCTCCTGACTGGCCTAGCCCAGCCCCATCTAATGCAGCCATTTGGAAAACGAACCAGCAGATGGAGGATCTGCCTCTCTCTCTCTCTCTCTCTCTCTGTCTTTCTACTTCTCTATCTCTCTTTCAAATAAATTAAAACACATAAATAAATCTTTAAATAAATAAATAAACCTAACCAGAACTTTCAAGGAACATATGAATATTATATTAACATACACTCACAAATTTACAGAAGAAGAGAAAAAATTTACTTTTGGTAAGCATAAAATGACTAATTAGTGATATCTAATCATTATTATAATTTGAATTCTAATAATTACTGGTTGTGTAAAGGTTAATTTTATAAGTTAACTTGCCTGCCAAGTTGCCACAGTACCCAGATATTGGTCAAACATTATTCTAGGTGTTTCTGCAATTGAAGTTTGGGGTGAGATTTTGGTTCAAATCAGCAAAATTCGGGTAAAGTAGATTGCCTTTCTTAATTGTACTGGACCTCAGCTAGTCTGCTGAATATTATTGGCCTGAATATGAAATGAAATTAACTTTCTCCCATAAGGGGAATTCTCCACTAGATTGTCCTTGGACTTCATCTGCAACACATGCTCTTCCTGGTTCCACTGCACACTGATGTTGGAATCAAACTGCAACTCTTTCCTAAGTTTCCAGCCTACCTGCTTCTTCCATTGGATTTTGGACTCACCAAACCTTTACAATTATATGAGTTACGTTAAAATGTCCTCTCTTTTGTTCTCTCTCATATCTGGAGATACTTCAAAAAGTTTCTGAACAATAAATTAAAATATAATGCACCTGAAGTGCATTGAAGCACTGCCTATGTATACATACACACAGACATCATGTTGGTTCAGTTTATCTAAAGACTTTAACTACCACAGACTCTTAAAGCAATATTTGGTGCTGGTGTTGTGGCATAGTGGGCTAAGCCTCCGCCTGTGGCACCGGCATACCACATAGGCCCTGTTCAAGTCCTGGCTGCTCCACTTTGGATCCAGCTCTCTGCTGTAGCCTAGGAAAGCGGGAGGAGATGGCCTAAGTACTTGGGCCCCTGCACCCACATGGGAGACCCAAAAGAAACTCCTGGCTTCTGGCTTCAGATCAGCTCAGCTCCAGCTGTTTTGGCCATTTGGGGAGTGAACCAGCAAATGGAAAACCTCTCTCTCTCTCCCCCTCTCTCCCTCTCTCTGTAACTTTGCCTCTCAAATAAATGAATAAATCTTTAAAAAAATACCCATCCATACTGGGAGGAAAATCCCATCATTATTTTGAAGTTTTAGTGTGGAAAATCCCATCAAAATAGAAATTTACTAGGATTATTAAGAAATTTTGAGGTTATAGTGGTCAACAAAAAATGGCAAGAGCTGACTTTTTTAAAAAGATTTTTATTTATCTATTTGACAGGTAGAGCTACAGACAGTGAAAGAGAGAGAGACAGAAGGAAAGGTCTTACTTCCGTTGGTTCATCCCCCCACAAAATGGTTGCAATGGCCCGAGCTACGCCGATTGGAAGTCAGGAGCCAGGTGCCTCTTCCTGGTCTCCCGCGCGGGTGCAGGGACCCAAGCACTTGGGCCATCCTCCACTGCCTTTCAGGGCCACAGCAGAGAGCTGGACTGGAAGAGTAGCAACCAGGACTAGAACCAGTGCCCATATGGGATGCCAGCACCACAGGCGGAGGATTAACCTAGTGCACCACGGCGCCAGCACAAGCTGACATATTTTAAAGATTCACTTTTTAAAGACTTTACTGGGGCTGGTGCTGTGGCGCATCGGGTTAACGCCTTGGTCTGAAGCGCCGGCATCCCATATGGGCACCGGTTGTAGTCCCGGATGCTCTTCTTCCAATCCAGCTCTCTGCTGTGGCCTGGGATAGCAGTAGAAGATGGCCCAAGTCCTTGGGCCCCTATACCCGCGTGGGAGACCCAGAAGAAGCTCCTGGCTCCTGGCTCCTGGCTTCAGATCAGCACAGCTCCAGCCATTGAGGCCAATTGGGATCTCAACCATCAGATGGAAGACCTCTCTCTCTCTCTCTGCCTCTCCTCTCTCTGTGTAACTCTTTCAAATAAATAAATAAATCTTTTTAAAAAAAAAGACTGTTTAAATAGTTCAAGTTATCCAAATCCTGGTTAATGGTGAGAAAGAAGTTTCCATCAATATATAAAGAGTGATTAATACATCTCTGCGATTTGCTACTACCAATTTGAGAGATTAAAATTTCTTGTGATTGATTGCCTATCATAATTTCAGAGAGGTCATCCTTTAAAAGTCTTGATCAAGAATTTGATGAAGCCAGTTCAAACTTAAATTCTGATTGGTGCATTCATACCTGTAAGCTAAAATTCTCACTAGAAAAACATTTGCCTATGATTAAAATCTTCAAGGTTTTATACAAATTACATTACACAGTTTTTGTTCCCTAACACTTTGTATTTTATTCTTCTTATTTTAATTATGTGACTTAAATAGAAGACAATGATTGTTTACATATCAAGATTAGTGTAGTCTCCTCAAAGCCCTCCAATTTGGTTTATTCCTCTAAGTCACAAAAGTATTAGCTTTTGTGCATTGTGATAGGTAAAATGTTGGGATCACTGCTTTTTTTTTGGGGGGGGGATGGACTTTTTCCCTAAGGACAATAAACAATCTTTGAACTGTGTAAAACCAAAAAGATATAAGAAATTTTTCTATAATTCTGGTTACCCCATCGTATCTGGGTGACTTTGAGATTTCATGTCAGGAACTGCTTTACATGTATGTCAGGATTTAGAACTTACAGATACAGCTGCCTCATCAAAATGAATGAGAGAATGCAACACTAGATACAGTGGATACAATTGGAAGGTTGTTGAACTCACCCAGATGAGCGATCCTATGATCTGAATCAGGGTGGGGCCAGTGCTGATGCAAAGAAGTGAGGAGACTTCAGTGATATTTATAAATTAGATTCAATCTGATTTTGATTGATTGATTTGATGTAAAGAATGTGAAGAGGGAGAGAGTAATCAAGGTCTCTGACTTGGACAACAGAAATCAGCAAAAGTCCAATACTAAGCCCTGTGCTACCTGAATTTGTTATCAGATGATGCTCCCTTAATTCTTTCTTTCTTTCTTTATTTATTTTTGACAGGCAGAGTAGACAGTGAGAGAGAGAGACAGAGAGAAAGGTCTTCCTTTTTCCGTTGGTTCACCCCCCAATGGCCGCCGCGGCCGGCGCACTGCGGCCAGTGCACCGCGCTGATCCGATGGCAGGAGCCAGGTACTTATCCTGGTCTCCCATGTGGGTGCAGGGCCCAAGCACCCAAGATCATAGTGATGACCCTCAGATCTTTTTCTCAAAGAAACCAAGAGCATCAGGAGATTGTCAGTTCTTTCATAATTTATATTTTTATCAAACAAAGTGTGACTAGCTTTTGACTCCTACACGAAGTTCCAGAGGTCTCCCCAGAATTCTGGCCCATGTCAAGGGAACATCCTTTATGACTACCAAATCTTACTTTATGCAACTATTTTGTTTTTTTGCTTTCCTACCTGATCTTTATTCACATAAGTGAGAGCTTACTTTTTAATCATTCCCATTTACCACCACTGAAATTTTTTATTGTTACCTTTAATTTGTACTCAATTCAAGAGACTGAAGGATCCACCATGGCCTTGGGAGATTTCCTCTTCAAGAATCACAGAAATGTCAGTCTGGAAGTGAACTGGTAGATTAGAGTACATTCAAGATGGAAGGATCTGGGGCCGGTGCCATGGCACAGTAGATTAATCCTCCACCTGTGGCACTGGCATCCCATATGGATACCAGATCTAGTCCTGGCTGCTCCTCTTCCAATCCAGCTCACTGCTGTGGCCTGGGAAAGCAGTGGAAGATGGCCCAACTCCTTGGGTTCCTGCACCCACATGGGAGACCTGTAGGAAGCTCCTGGCTCCTGGTTTCAGATCGACACAGCTCTGGCCATTGCAGCCATTTAAGAAGTGAACTAATGGAAGGAATATCTTTCTCTCTGTCTCTCCCTCTCACTGTCTGAAACTCTATGTCTCAAATAACATAAATAAAATCCTTAAAAAAAAAAGATGGGAGGATCCTTGGAAACTACTCAGTCTTTGTTTTTATTTTATAGACAGTAAACTTTCAATCTAGAGAAAAGTTATCTGGGCTGAAACCCACATTCACAGAGGAATGTGAAAGGTTACTAGAAATAAAAATTTAAGTGGCTTAATAAATCAGATAAATATTTCATTTTGACAACTACAGTATATCACCAAAATTAAGATACTAGTGGTTGTAAGGCATGAAAATGACTCAATGCCAATTAAATTATGGAAAAATATCAAGATACTGTCAATAAAAGATAAATCATAATTTCAGACTAGTTAAATATACAGGTGTTTTAGAATTGATAAAATAGATGGAAAATGTCCAATGAAACATTTTTATTGGAAATGGAAATGTTTTGTCTACTCTTAAAAGTCAATAAAGGTATACAGCTCAAGTCTTTAAAATTTTTTTTCCTTTATTATGAAAAGTGGAAAAATTCAGTATTTGGTCTCTTTCAGGATTTTGGCTACCAAAGGTTTGCAATGATGTATACTTAGTTATTTACATCCAATGACAATAAACTTTTACACACTTTGGAGAGGTCACAGTCCGTAGAACTCCTGCCTTCTGCTTTATTTCAATGCTTACAGCATTAGTTGTGGCAAGTCTAAGAGACTCTGGAAATACTCAGATGGTACAAAATGCACACTTATTTTATTTTGTAAGCATCTTTTAGGGATGAGTCATTAGATGGATTTCTTGTTCTAAGTAATTTTTCTGAATATTACAAAGTAATAAAATTCTAAGCCAAAGATGAATAATGAAAGCATATGCTCTAAATTAGAGGAAGGGAGAAATTAGAAGGTATGGGGTGTGGCAAAGTGCATGAACATATAAATGTCACCCAACCTTCTTAAGTTGGAGCTTTTTTTCCATTGAGCTTATATTCTTGCATAACACTCTTGGAATAACTTTTTGTGGGATATAATTAGAAATGTAGCACTAAAACCTAGCTTCCTGCAATGTGGCCTGTCTTATTACTAACAAACATAGTTTAATATCAGAGCATATATTTCACTTTAATGTGCCAGGCTAAATATGGTTGTGACAAACATTCATATTTGTCATAATATATTATCATATGTTTCACTCACCACATGCAACTAGCTGGCTCTGGGTTTCTTTCTTTTTTCTTCTTCTTTTTTAAATATTTATTTACTTATTTGAAAGTCAGAGTTACAGAGAATGAGGGAGAGACAGAGAAAGAGTCATCTTCCATTGGCTGGTTCACTCCCGACGTGGCCACATGGCCAGGACTGGTCCAGGCTGAAGTTAGGACCCAGAACTTCATTCAGGTCTCTCACATGGCTTGTAGGGGCCTAAGAACTTGGGCCATCTTCCACTGCTTTTTCCAGGCCATTATCAGGGAACTGGATCAGAAGTGGAACAGCCAGGATATGAACAGGAGCCCATAAGGGATGCCAGTGTTTCAAGCAACAGCTTTACCAGCTACGCCACCATGAAATTCCCTCTGGATTTCAACGCTGAAACATATTCTTCTCTGATTTCAGAGTTTTAGAGTTTTTAGTAATAGCAAACTCACTGCATTCTTGAGAAAAACAATGCTTTGCATCCACTCAAAAATTATACAGATTAATATTCATTCAATTTATTTTTAAGACAAGTGATTAAATATATAAAACATGTAAAGATGGCTTTAGAAGATCCTTTACTCTCAGAATTCTTATACAAAATGTATATCTACTAAACAAAACAAAATAGAACAGCTCCTAAAGAAATATTTTACTTTCAGTTTGCTTGTCTCTTAAGTTTTCTTTCACAGAAGTTGCAAGAACCCTAAATTTGCTAGCATTTTTAAAAAATATTTATTTGAAATAGGCAAAATCTATCAGCAGATTTTATTTCAACTCACATTAAAATCTCCTTAAAGAAAATAAAAGAAATATCATTCAAAGTAATTTAACACAAATCTAACAATTTGTGGAAATGGAAAAGGCATCAAATAGTATCAAAAGTAGAGTTCTCCTTCATGCCCTTAGTAATATCTTTCTTTTCTCAGTTTTAGGCAGAAAATGAGGATGATGTGCTTAGAGTAAGAAATACTAGGCTGAACAGAAGAGAGCAGGGTGCTGTAGCTTTGCTGTTTGTCCATTTGAAAAGCTTTTATTTAGGGCTGGCCAAAAGCACTAACAACAAAATCCATCAAACTGACAAAACATGGCAACAGTTAACAAAGAGCCCACAGGCAAAAAGTAGCAATTGAGTATGTATACGAGTGAGCCCTTGGATGATACCTGCTGTTCAAAAATTTGCCATTTGACATTTTCCTTTCTTGTTATGTTTTCCTCCCCAGAGATAAGAGATTTCCACAACTGCATACTAACTTGAAGCTTCAGAAAGTCATTTTTAAAATAATCAACTGTTCAAGTCTTCATCTTGTGAGCACATGGCATATTTTAAAAATCAAGAAATTGGCATTGACCATGCAATCATCTCCTGAGGCAAGTGACTCAATTTCTTTTTTTGTTGTTAAATTCTTTTTTTATTTTTATTTATTTTTATTTTTTCAACTTTTATTTAATAAATATAAATTTCCAAAGTACAACTTTTGGATTATAGTGGCCTTTCCCCCATGACCTCCCTCCCACCCACAACCATCCCATCCCCCACTCCCTCTCCCAACCCATTCTTCATCAAGATGCATTTTCAATTATCATTATATACAGAAGGTCAATTTAGTGTATACTAAGTAAAGATTTCAACAGACTGCACCCACACAGACACACAAAGTATAGAGTACTGTTTGAGTAGTAGTTTTACTGTTAATTCACATAGTACAACACACTAAGGACAGAGATCCTACATGGGGAGTAGGTGTACAGTGACTCCCATTGTTGACTTAATAATTGACAATCTTATTTATGATGTCATTAATTACCCGAGGCTCTGGTCATGAGCTGCCAAGGCTATAAAAGCCCCCTGAGTTCACCGACTCTGATCATATTTAGACAAGGTCGTAGTCAGAGTGGAAGTTCTCTCCTCCCTTCAGAGAAAGGTACCTCCTTCTTTGATGGTCTGTTCTTTTCACTGGGATCTCACTCGCAGAGATCTTTCACTTAGGTCATGTTTTTTGCTACAGTGTCTTGACTTTCCAAGCCTGAAATACTCTTATGGTCTCTTTAGCCAGATCTGAATGCCTTAAGGGCTGATTCTGAGGCCAGAGTGCTGTTTAGGACATCTGCCATTCTATGAGTCTGCTGTGTATCCCAATTCCCATGTTGGATCATTCTCTCCCTTTTTTATTCTATCAGAAGTATTAGCAGACACTAGTCTTGTTTATGTGATCCTTTTGACACTTAGTCCTATCTTTATGATTAATTAGGAACTGAAACTGATCACTTTGATTAGTAAGATGGCATTAGTACATGCCACCTTGATAAGATTGAATTGGAATCCCTGGCACGTTCTAGCTCTACCATTAGCTGTAACTCCGTTTGAGCATGTGTTGAACTGTATCTCTCACTCTCTTATTCCCATTGTTATATTTAACAGAGATCATTTTTCAGTTAATTTTAAACATCTAAGAATAATTGTGTGTTAATTAAAGAGTTCAACCAATGGTATTAAGTAGAACAAAAAATACTAAAAGGAATAAAATAGTAAGTTGTTCCTCGACAGTCAGGAAAAGCGCTGATCAAGTCATTGTTTCTCATAGTGTCCATTTCACTTCAACAGGTTTCCTTTCAGGTGCTCGGTTAGTTATCACTGATCAGGCAGAACATATATTTGTTCCTTTGGGATTGGTTTATTTCACTCAGCATTATGTTTTCCAGATTCCTCCATCTTGTTGCAAATGACCAGATTTCATTGTTTTTGACTGCTGTATAGTATTCTAGAGAGTATATATCCCATAATTTCTTTATCCTGTCTACTGTTGATGGGCATTTAGGTTGATTCCAGGTCTTAGCTATTGTGAATTGAGCTGCAATAAACATTGAGGTGCAGACAGCTCTTTTATTTGTCAATTTAATTTCCTTTGGGTAAATTCCAAGGAGTGGGATGGCTGGGTTGAATGGTAGGGTTATATTCAGGTTTCTGAGGAATCTCCAAACTGTCTTCCATAGTGGCTTTACCAGTTTGCATTCCCACCAACAGTGGATTATTGTCCCTTTTTCCCCACATCCTCATCAGCATTTGTTGTTGGTAGATTTCTGTATGTAAGCCGTTCTAACTGGGGGAGATGAAACCTCAATGTTGTTTTGATTTGCATTTCCCTGATGGCTGGTGATCCTGAACATTTTTTCATGTGTCTGTTGGCCATTTGGATTTCATCTTTTGAAAAATGTCTCAATTTCATAATAAATTTCAACTTGAGTTTTAAATTCTAACCAATGTATTATGTACCAAGTGACTGTCCTAATGAAGAATATGTGCATATGTGTTTTCTATGTTCACAAATACATGTACATATGTGTGTTTTTGGACGTATAAAGAATATTAATAAGTCCTGTAACATACAAGGATAATTTAAAAAGTGGTGCAAAACAATTAAAAATAATTTTTTTGCAAAAAATTTGAAATCCATGGATATATGGACCTTCACAATGTTCACAGAAATTGCATAGTATGAAAAAAAAACTATGCATGAATTTCAAAAATTTTTGTATCAATTTTAATTCCATTTTCCACAAACTTTTTGAAGTATCTTTGTAAATATTTTCTCTGAAGTTTTGTTTTATTTTATTATTGATTTATTTATTCAAAAGGCAGAGTTATGGGGCGGGGGATCTTACGTCTGCTGGTTCACTCCCCAAATGGTCACAATGGCCAGAACTGGGCTGATCAGAAGCCAGGAACCAGGAACTTCTCCAAGGTCTCCCTTGTAGGTGCAGGAGTGTACGTACTTGGTCCATCTGCTGCTGTTCTCCCAGGCACATGAGTAGGGAGCTCGATCAGAAGTAGAGCAGTCAGGACTCAAATCAGTGCACATATAGGATGCTGATGCCACAGGCAGTGGCTTTACCCACTACAGCACAGCACCGGCCCCTTCTGTGAACTTTTAGAAGCCCCGTGTACATACTAAAAATAACGATATGCCTTAATGAATTTTTGGCCCATTGAATAGCTTCATTTTTTTCAGACTTGGTGTGGTTTCCTTAAGATATTGATAATTTGTCATTTCATTTACACAATGTATGAGCTCACCTAAAAAGACTAGGGCAATAGGGCAACTCCTCAAAGAAGTTAGATAGGGAATTGTTTGGAAAGAAGAATGGGATCAGCTGTTGTTCTAGGGACCTATATGATATTCAGAGATGACATGCTTCTGCCTACTTCACTAAAGATCAATGATTTAATGCTGGGAACTTACAAGTCATTCATATGCATACAGACCAAGCTGGAGCTCTAAATCACAGGCAAGATGAGTAAGCAAAGATCAAAGTTAAGAGGGTGTGGAATCCTGCAGCGCCCATGGGTAAGAAGGTATGCCATGGCAGGGAGAAGAAGGTGTGCCATGGCAGGGAGAGAGGAGTGTCCTGCAGAAATTCCTCTCACCAACAAGCTAGAGGAGTGTTTTATTGAATTCTGTGGTTCATGAATGTTGGCAAACCTTGTGGGTTTCAATGTATATCCTTGAAAAGGACAGTGAGAAAATTGACCACCTGCAAAACTAGTTAGATATCTCTTTGACACGTGGGATTCAACAATCAACTGGTAGCTTTTATGTCTTAACTAATTCTCTCTTTTTTGGAGTCTTCAGCCACTTGCCAAATGATAAAAATTTGAATGTCTCTTCCCCATTGATAATTTAAGATATTCTGAAAAAACACCAGAACTACTAGAATTCAAACCAATATCCCAAACCAACATATACCAACAATCTTTGATGCTAACTAGATTTAGTTTAATGGAGTTGTAAGTCAATTGTCTTTTACACCAAGGTGTGTATATGAAAATCAAAGAAAGATGATGGTAGATAAGACCTCTTTAAACACTGAGACATAAACAGGTACAAGTACCTTTAGCATCATAAAAAGTATAAAAAAGACATGGAGCTGGAAGAAGAACTATTTGTTGAAATATTTTTGTTAAAATGCATGCTTAGGGGCTTATGTATAAGCAATGAGTGAACAAGATAAAGGCAGAACCATAAAGGAAGCATGAGTTTCTTAAAGACACAGTTTCTATGTCCTAGCTCATAAGGACATTTAGCATACACATATAAAAAATTATAAAAATACTTTTGGCCCAAATGTTCATGGACAAAATTTAATAAATCAAGTATTCTATTAGAATTAGATGGGAGATGTTGATGTTATTTTGGCTTTTCTGAGTGTCTACAATTATAATTTTGACAAATGAAATAGTATTAAGAGGATTATAAGGAATAATCACAAATTATTTCAGATTTTATAGCATTTAATTGATATTTTCCAAATGTATGACCTAAGCCACATATCTGAGAGTGATTGATGAATATCTCACTTTTTTATGTCAAAAAAATATCAAAAAAGCATTCCAGAACAGTGCTTTCAAGGATCCTTTAGCATGAGAATCAGAAGTTAAAATTCATATCCTCTGTATCACACTGAGAGGCAGAGAATAATTTGTAGCTAGACATCCTGATTTCAAGTCAGGTTCTTTTCAGACACATCTGTGCACCAAATGAAAATGAATTGCATTTTATTGTATAGTACATCAGTTGACTGGAGAATAAATGGGAGATTTTTTTCTCAATAGTTTTTTTTTTTAATTTTATTTATTTATTTTTATTTTTGACAGGCAGAGTGGATATTGAGAGAGAGAGAGACAGAGAGAAAGGTCTTCTTTTTTGCCGTTGGTTCACCCTCCAATGGCCGCCGCGGCCGGCGCACCGCGACCGGCGCACTGCGACCGGCGCACCGCGCTGATCCGAAGCCAGGAGCCAGGTACTTTTTCCTGGTCTCCCATGGGGTGCAGGGCCCAAGTACTTGGGCCATCCTCCACTGCACTCCCAGGCCACAGCAGAGAGCTGGCCTGGAAGAGGGGCAACTGGGACAGAATCCCGCGCCCCGACCAGGACTAGAACCCGTGTGCCGGCGCCACAAGGTGGAGGATTAGCCTTCAATAGTTTCTTAATCTGTTCACATTTACAAATATGTTATGGAATGTGGAAGGAAGCTCTGGTTTGGTATTGTCTCAATTACAATTGCCAAAGTCAATGATCTGTATGTCCAAATGTGGGGAGCAGCCCGGACTGGACTGAGTTACTGGAATTAAGACTTATTCTATGCATCTGCTCTCCCACAATATGGCGCTGGGAGAGAAGTAAACAGCTTCTGCACAGCTGCCTCCAGTTCAACCAATAAACTGTAGGACTTGCTACTGATTGGAGGAGAGCGGCGTACTCGGCGTGTGGGCAGCCGAGTTGGGATTGGCGGAGGAGGACTATAAAGGAGGAGAGAGTCGGCATGCACCAGGAACATCTAAGGGGAACATCTAAGAGGAACACCTGTGCAGCCCCCCGAGAGAGCCGGCTGGCGGTGTGCCGCTCCCCCGCGGAAGTGGGGAATGTGGCA